GTTTAGGGTCTAGGGTCTAGGGTCTAGGGTCTAGGGTCTAGGGTCTAGGGTCTAGGTTTTAGGGCCAGGGTTTAGGGTTTAGGGTTTGGCTTTTTGGGGTTTGGGGTGTTGGGTTCAGAGCTTCATAGGCCTTACCTTGCACCCTAAAACCCTGACTGAATCTGAAACCCTCTAAACCTAGCAGCCAAAACCCTTGTGAACATACTATACCCTCTTGAACCTGTTTGAGCCCTGTTTGGGGTTTAGGATTTAGGGTTTGCGGCTTCGGCTTAAGGGCACCTATACTGCGGAGCTCTGCCTTTAAGGGGTCCCAACAAAGCTTTTTGGACCATCATGTAGATTTTCCTTCCAGGGGTCTGGGTAACGCTTGGTCTGCCTGTTTGTGTGCCTTACCCTGCGCCCGCCTACCCGAAACCCGAAACCCGAAACCCGAAACCCGAAACCCGAAACCCGAAACCCGAAACCAAGATCACCAAATCCTAAAGCCTCAACCCTGAACTCAAAACCCTAAACCCTAAACCCTAAACCCTAAACAATCTCTGGACCGACGCGTCGCTTGAGGGCCGGGCATATGGGGCAAGGCAGCCAATGAAGCAGAACTGCCCGGGCTGAAGGCCGTTGCATTCGGTGAGGTCGAACATCTGGCAGAGCTGCGGCTTTGGGGCTTACCCGGCATTTGGGTTTAGGGTTTAGGGTTTAGGGTTTAGGGTTTAGGGTTTAAGGTTTCGGGTTTAGGGTTTAGGGTTTAGGGTTGAGGGACTCCACCTACCTAGAGATTCTGATGATGGTTGCACCTAGAAGTCAAGACGCCGCTGCTGCTAAACTGCTCGTAGAGGGACTTACCGGTAAGGCTTGTAAGGGCTTGGGGGCTGTGTTCAAGGCTCACCATGCCAGAGATTGCGGCGCCTAGGAGCTTGGGCTTCTGGGGCTCCAGCCGGTTTTCGGGAGAAAAAAACACAGGGTCCCAGGGTATTCCAGGAATCTGATGCCTAAGGTAAAAGCAAACTATGAGAAAAAGGTTAGGGCTAGGGCTTGTGGGGGGAATATGCCCGACGCCCTGAAGCCGGCAGCCCGAAACCTACACCTCAAAGCTTTAAACCCCTTTATCCCCAAATCCTACAATGCGTGTGTTGATCAACCCTAAACCCAACCCAATCCCCAAACCTTAAATCCCCTAAATCCCTACTTGAACCCGACAAGCCCCAAAACACCTTCGGGGAAGGGAGATGCTCGGGAGACATTCAAGCTGTGTGCGTGAACTTGGACAGGCTCGCTATCACCTGCTGGCCACATTCCAGAAGCAAAGACCCTAAATCGTGAAGCACCGCCGGAGCCACGCACGTGTCAACATCGGGCATGATGCAGGGAACGATCGGCAGACAGCCCGACCTTGCCATGCGCTTCAGGGGGGTTCACGGCTCAGGGCTAATAGAGCTACTGGGCTCAGTCTGTAATGTGGGAGGCAGCACCTTATCGCAGGCTTCTTCTCTTTCGCGCAGCCAGGTCGGACAGTGTTCATGAGGCTAGTAAACCGTAAAAAAAATATAACTAGGCCAAAAGCCTAAACCCCACCCAAATCTGGGTTGGGAGGGTGTGCTTGGCGCATGACACACCCTAATTAAACTTAAACCCTGAAACCTCTAAACCCTGCACCCTTGAAAAATCAAGTAACCTTAAACCCACCCCCATCCCAAAAATGTGAAACCTGAAACCCAAGGGGGGGGGGGGGGGGGGGGGGGGGGGGGGGGTTTGGTCGGGGGTGGGGGCTAGGGTTCAGAGTTTAGGGTTTAGGGCTTAGGGTTTAGGGCTTAGGGCTACTTGGGGCTTAGGGTTTAGGGCTTAGGGTTTAGATTTAGGGTTTGGGGTTTGGGATTTTAGGGCTTAGGGCCTGGGCCATGGAATTTGGCGCTGAGGACCCTGCAGCTGCGTGATCGCCACACAGTTCTCGTCAATTTGGCAGGTCTCCACCACCTGCCATGGGTTTAGGGTACGTCTAGGGTTTAGGGTCCTGAAAACTGCCCAAACCCTAAACCCCAAACCCCAAACCCCAAACCCCAAACCCCAAACCCTAAACCCTAAGCCCTAAACCTCACTCTCAACAGACATCCCGACACCTGGCCTGACCCGCGTAGCCGTCGGCGCAGACAAAGTAGTCGCCATCTCCATCTAAGAGGTTTAGGGTTTAGGGTTCAGGGTTTCGGGTCTGGGGTTGAGGGTTGATGGTTTGGAGTTTGGGGCGTAGGCTTCAAGGTTTATGGTTTAGGGGCTTTTCCGGTTTAGGGTGTGATTCTGTGCCACCCCGCGCCCGCGCCCGACTGCGTACCCCCCTGCCGAGAGTCGGCGTTGACTTCGGTTTTGGAGTAACCGCTTTAAGGATCATGACTCTAGACTTGGGATGTTCCCCTTCTACTAACAGTGTCCTTATTAGGGACTATAGTAGGCGGTACTATCATCCCCAATTCTTAAGGACGGTTAGTACAAGGGGGAAGCAGCCCAAATCATCACTCTAAACGCCCCCAAGAGTCGCAAAATACAAGGCCCTGGGATGCTAGGGAGCTTCCCCACTTCTGGGGCTCTTCTCGCGGGTACCCTTTTGTGGGGGGCTGGCGCTACCTCTGCTTGGTAGCCCAGTTACCCATATTCCAACAAGGGCACCCTTTTTGGGGGTTGGTTCTTTTACAAGGGAAACGATTTGAAAAAAAGAAAAGCAAAACCACTGGGCTGCCAAGTCTATAAGGGCACCCAGTGCCCAAAACGGCCAAAGTAAAAAGGGTACCAGCGGGCCATCAAGAAGCTCTACCCTTCAGGTAGTTGCTCATGAGAACTCGTGTGTCGAAGATCAGCCAGCTAAACCCTAAACCCTAAACACTAAACCCTAAACCCTAAACCCTAAACCCTAAACCCTAAACCCTAAACTCTAAACCCTAAACCCTAAACCCTAAACCCTAAACCCTAAACCCTAAACCCTAAACCCTAAACCCTATAAACCCTGTACCCTAAGCCATTTAAAGTCTACATCTAGGGCCGGGCCCCAGCTGAGGCCGGGGCAGCCCAGGTTGTAGACGTCCGAGGCCCTGGCGTAGCCTGCTGGTTTAGGGTTTAGGGTTTCGGGTTTAGGGTTTAGGGTTTAGGGTTTAGGGCTTAGGGTTTAGGGTTTAGGCTTTAGGGTTTCTCAAGCTGACTTAACTGCTCTTCGCTAGGCTGGCCCTAAACCCTAAACCCTAAACCCCAAACCCTAAACCCTAAACCCTAAGCCCCAAACCCTAAACCCTAAACCCTTTCTGAAAATACTGGAAAAATAAGAGGTCCTCTTCAGCCCGGCAAAATCTCAAGCACCCGATGATTTAGGGTCTAGGGCGTAGGCTTTCTAGCCGTCGGGCGTACTTGCTACACTTCTTAAAATGTCAAAGGTTAACGAACCCTAAACCCTAAACCCTAATCCCTAAACCCTAAACCCTTTTTCTCTGTGGCTATGGTGCCCAAGAAGGCTTGCTATGCACCGAAGAGTGACAGAGGTAAGGCTTCGGGCTTCGGTCCGCCATTTCAGGGTTTAGGAGGGTTTAGGGCAAAGTGCATCATCTGCCAAACTCCAGATCTTTCTGCCGGTCATCCGCCAGCCGGCACAGCAAAGCAGGCGGCGATGCTCAGTTGGCTTGGCGCCCGTTTAGGCGCGAGCCGCTACCTCCCCCGTAGTTGCGGCAGCCGATGGGGGTGCGTCCCTTCGGCGACATTTCTGATCTCGTCGGAAACGGCACTTGAACGGCCCTACCCCAAACACTGGGTTAGGGTTTTGGGTTTGGGGTTTAGGGTTCAGGGTTTGGGGTTTCGGGTTTGGGGTTTAGGGTTTGGGGTTTAGGGTTTTGGAGTTAGGGCTTGGAGTTTAGGGTTTGGGGTTTAGGGTTTGGGGTTTAGGGTTTGGGGCTTAGGGTGTTGGATTTAGGGTTTGGAGTTTAGGGGAAACCTGCCCCGCCTGTGGGCACTGGACTTGGATCCGTGCAGTTGTACCAGCACTTCGGCGGGATCCAGTCGATGATCTTCCTAAGCAGCACTTGGAGGTTCATGGTACTTAGTTAACCAATTATAACTGTACTTAAAACCCAAATTAGAACTCTATTAGGGCGCTTAAGGGGCTGATAAGTACAGTTATTAGTACAGTCATAATTGGTTACGAAGTACCATGAACCTTCAAGCAACCATGGATTGCGGAGTGCAGGGTGTCAGGGTGTTTTGGGGCTGTGGGGTTTTGGGGGCTTCGGGATCTTTGGCATGAAAAGCCAGGGCCCTGGGGGGGTTGAGGGTTTAGGTTCGGAGGGAATTTTGGAGTGAGGTACCTTATTCTTTGGGGGATTACGTGAAGCACCTACTCTCCGAGGTTAAACCCCCGAATTCCCTAAACCCTAAACCCTAAACCCTAAACCCTAAACCCGCGCGCCCTTTCACTCCCCGCGCCGGCTATCAGACGTGCCCGGCGCCGAAATCAAAGCTGCGCGATGGCGTCCATCTCCTTGTGCTTAGGAGGGGTTCGAAGGGCTTGGGGTTGATAATTATGAGGGTTTAGGGTTTAGGGGTTAGGGTTTAGAGTTGAGGGTTGAGGGTTGGGTTGAGGGTTTAGGGTTGAGGGTTGAGGGTTGATAGGGTTTGGGGTTTAAGTCTAGGGCTTCTTTGTTTGAGAAGCCTCGTATACCGCTGGAAGTCCCTGCAAAAGCCTAGGCCTATATAGCAGCCTGGTGGAAGGAGAAGGGCTGAGCGTTTCGGGTTTAGGGCTTGCGGTCAGGGTTTGGGGTACCCTAATCCCTAAACCCCAAACCCTAAACTCGCAGAGCTCCAGGAGCTATTCCAACCGTGACTCGCAGCAACTATTGGGGAGTTCGGTACCCTACATAGTCCCTTCGAGGCTTCTATAGGGCTATAGGGGTCGACAAGGGTGCCTTGTGATTCCTTCACGCAATCCCTAAACCCTAAACCCCAAACCCCAAACCCTAAACCCTAAACCGTAAACCCTAAACCCTAAACCTCAACCCGTCAACCCCAAGCCGAGGCGCAACCGATCCGCCTAAACCGACATGGCTCGTGCCCGTGCAAATCCGGGCGGGGAGAGGGCGGGAGCCCCAAACCTCGCGAGCTTAATGGGGCCTCTTTGAGGAAGGACTTCTTGGGGGGTTTAGGGTTTAGGGTTTAGAGTTTAGTGTTTAGGGTTTAGGGTTTTTGGGGTGAGGTTGAGGGTTGAGGGCTAGCGGTTGAGTTCTTGACTGGGACCTGTCTGGGAGGGCGGGGCTTCTCAAGCTTCGGGGTTTAGCCTAATGGGAACTTCTTGGGGGTTCTTAACAGGGACATGATTTGGGGTTCTTAGGATTTCGGGCTAAACCTAGGGCCTTTCTGGGCGCTCTTAGGATTTTCATGCCCTAAACCCTAAACCCTAAACCCTAAACCCTAAACCCTAAACCCTAAACCCTAAACCCTTCTTGGGCGCTTCTGCTTGCGGCTCCAGGTCGAGGTCTTTGCTTGGTGGGTTCTAAGGATCAGTTAAGAGGTTCAGAGGGTTTAGGGTTTAGGGTTCAGGGTTGAGGGTTGAGGGTTGAGGGTTGAGAGTTGAGGGTTGAGGGTTGAGGGTTGAGGGTTGAGGGTTCCCCAAAATGAGTAACTTTTTTGCGCGGATGAGAAACATCAGCTGTTGCACGGAACGGATTGATTCCAAGCCCACGTCAACCCTAAACCCAAAGCCCGAAACCCTAAACTCCAAAACCCAATCCCTAAATCCCCAAAGCTTAGGCTCTAAACCCCGCACCCCTTTATAGAAAGCCGACACCTGCCTCCATGTACCCGGCGTTCATGGCTTGAAACCGCTCTGTCGTGTACTCCACAAGGAAGGCGTGCACCATCGTCACCTATCCCTAAACCCTAAACCCCAAACCCGAAACCCTAAACCCTAAACCCTAAACCCTAAACTTGCCCTAAACCGTAAACCCTAAACCCTAAACCCTAAACCCTAAACCCTAAACCCTAAACCCTAAACCCTAAACCCTAAACCCTAAACCCTAAACCTTAAACCCCAAACCCTGAACTCTAAACCCGAAACCCAGCTTGCAGCAGCTGTCGGTGGCTCAGGACCCGTTTTGGCTCCGAGAGTTAAAGTCCCCAACAGGCAATTTAAGGTTTAGTGTTTAAAGCTTTGGCATCTTTTTGTGGCTGTTTCCAAGGCCTGGGGCCCTGTTCGGCAACATGTAACCCCAACTATAACCGTACCTATAAGCCAGCCCCCTGAGTCCCAACTCCTCTAAGCAGGTTAGGAGTAGACTTCTAGGTTATGAGTAGGCTTCTCATTGGGGTTATCAGTACCCATGAACCTCCAAGTATACTCCCTAAACCCTAAACCCTAAACCCTAAACCCTAAACCCTAAACCCTAAACCCTAAACCCTTCAGTTCCCAGTCGCATGTTCAAGGCCGGCTCCACAAGCGTTTAGGCACGCCTCAATGACTCGCAGCGTCTGCACTGCCTCCTGGTGGAGACGCGTGGGGTTTAGGGTTTGGGATTTCGGTTCAGGGTTTAGGGTTTAGGGTTTAGGGTTTAGGGTTTAGGGTTTAGGGTTTAGGGTTTAGGGTTTAGGGTTTTGGTTTAGGGTTTAGAGTTTGGGGTTTTGGGTTCAGGGTTTAGGGTGTAGGGTTTAGGGTTTTGTGCTCAAGGTTCAGGGTTTGGGGTCCAGGGCCTCACGGTGTAGGGTTTAGGGGTACGGGCTAACCCGGCTATTATCTTCTAGATTTAGGCTTAGGGTTGAGGGATAAGAGTCAAGGCGGTGGAGGGTTCATGGCTTCGGCGGCGACGAACACCATGCTTCAAGGGATGCTAAAGCATGCAACTTACAAGTTTCGAGGGTTTGCCGTGCCGTTATCCCGGGCCGGCATGCTGTCTTCGCCGTACCCATTTTTAAACCCTGGCATCGCGAAGCTCCCAACTCCAAGATTCCCGAACCCGATTTGTTCAACTCTCCAAGTTCTGGTTCCTTTCAGACAGCGGATGTCCACTTATCACGCGGAGCCTTAAACAACTTAGGGTCAGAGCTGCGCAGTTTAGGGGTTCGAAGACAAACTAGCTTCCACAGGAAGCTGGGAATGGGAAAACCTGACCCCCATGTATCGAATCGGAGGGATTCAAGTTGCTTGGAACCCGTGTGGATTTCAAACCGCAGGAAGCTATAGAGCAACCGTGTTCTTGCCGCTCAATAAGACGATCAGAACACTGCAGTGTCGCGAGTAGACCTCCTAAACCCTAAACCCTAAACCCTAAACCCTAAACCCTAAGCCCCATGAAGCCCTGGAGAGTCGAAGTCAAGAAAACGAGGCATCAAAGGGTTTAGACCTTGGAGTTTAGAGTTCAGGGGTTGTGGGGCTTCTACGTCTTAGGAGTTCGAAGCCGTATAAGCTCTACGTCCACTCCAAAACCGAAACCCTGAATCCCCCTAAACCCTAACCCTAAACCCTAAACCCTAAACCCTAAACCCTAAACCCTAAACCTATACCCTAAACGCCCTAAACCCTAAACCTTGAACCCTGCTTCCTTCTCCGGGCCCCCAGGGACGATGGCCGGCTTTCCGTCGCTGCCTTTCCGGGCGCCGACTGCGCCGGAGACGTAGATGGTCCCAGTCTCTGTAATCACCGCGGAACAGAAGGGCAAGCGAACCTTTGGGTTAGGGTTTAGGGTTCGGGATTTAGGGTTTAGGGTTTAGGGTTTAACACCAAATCTTTTACAAGGAAAGAATTACAACTGAGTCGAATTTCTGCGCTGTGACCAAAATTGTGGGACCTTCTTTGAGGGTTTCACGTTCATGGCAAGCACAGCCATGCAAAACCACTGCACACCCCGCGCGCAGACCCTAAACCCCTCGACCTTCGAGCCTGCGAACCCACATGAACCCCACAAAACCCTGCACCCTAGGGTTTAGGGTTTAGGGTTTAGGGTTTAGGGTTTAGGGTCTAGGGTTTAGGGTCTAGGGTCCAGGGTTTCGGTTTCCCTAAACGCCCTCAGTCGAAGCAAGGCGGCAGGAATGCCCAGCATGGCATTCCAGTCCAGGGTCACGTGCGTCTTACCGCCGCTCACCTCGCTCTTCACTGCGATGTTGCCTGGGCTGCATGTTGAAAGGGTTTAGGGTTCAGGGTTTAGGGTTTGGGGCTCCTAAGTTAGGGTTTAGGGTTTAGGGTTTAGGGTTTAGGGTTTGGGGTTTAGGGTTTGGGGTTTAGGGTTTGGGGTTTAGGGTTTAGGGTTTGGGGCTTAAGGTTCAGCACTCCGGATCGAGCAGTTTTATGGTAAAGCTACATATTTACGGCTTGATATAACACCCACCCACCCAGAGAATCCCATAACATTGAGGAAGCAAAACTCGGCCCAATTCTGAAAATAAAGCGGCCCAATTCTGAAAATAAAGCGGCCAAATTCCGAAAATAAAGTGGCCAAGTTCCGAAAATAAAGCGGCCAAATTCCGAAAATAAAGCGGCCAAACTCCGAAAATAAAGCGGCCAAATTATGAAAAAAAAAGCGCCCAAATTATGAAAATAAAGCGGCCAAATTATGAAAATAACGCGGCCAAATTATGAAAATAAAGCGGCCGAATTCTCAAATTCAACTAAGGTTTAAATATACGGTAGCGAGGGTTTAGGGCTTAGTTTCAGAAAAAAAACCAGAATCCAACAAGGGGGAAGGGTATACCCCAAACCCTAGGCCGTTTCTAGGAACCCCCGAAACACCCAAGATAAAAACCCCAACCCGAAACTTACCCTAAACCCTAAACCCTAAACCCTGAACCCTGAACCCTAAACCCTAAACCCTAAACCCTAAACCCTAAACCCTAAACCCTACCCCCCCAAATTGAGTGCCAGGCAGCCCAAGCCTGGCACTGTCACGGTCTTCGGGATGCGGATGCGCGGCTTCCGGAGGTAGCCCACGAGCCTGGGGCTAGGGTTTAGGGTTTAGGGTTTAGGGTTTAGGGTTTAGGGTTTAGGGTTTAGGGTTTAGGGTTTAGGGTTTAGGGTTTAGGGTTTAGGGTTTAGGTTAGGGGGTTTAGGGTTTAGGGTTTAGGGTTTAGGGTTTAGGGTTTAGGGTTTAGGGTTTGGGGTTTGGGGTTTGGGGTTTGGGGTTTGGGGTTTGAGGTTTGGGGTTTGGGGTTTGGGGTTTGGGGTTTAGGGCAAGGTTTAGGGTTTAGGGTTTAGGGTTTAGGGCCGGCCAGGTAAGGCTTGAAGACGTGAGGGCTGAATAGCATCTGGCAGTTTGGGTTTGGGGTTTGGGGTTTGGGGCTTAGGGTTTGGGGTTTTGTGGCGTCTGGGTTCTCAACTACAGGCAGTTGCTCATGGCCCCTTTTGAGTAGAACCAAGTGGCTCGAAAACCCTGGACCTCTTGAAGCCCCGAGCCCCATGGAGGGATTAGGATGAGGGATCCGCTCATTGGAGAAAAAAGGAGCGTACCATGGCCTCTTATACGCGAAAAAAATGGGAATGAACAATTTAAAAGCGAGCCCGAAACGGTCTTGTTCAGAGTGTTAGTTAAGGGTGGGGTTTAGGGTCCAGGGTATCTACATCAGCCCGGGAGCAGCGCGGCGCCAATACCAGCGGCGGAGGCCAACGAAACCATGGCCACATCACGCGACGTCATGGCTGGAAGATGCACCGGAACCTACACTGCACAGCACCCCGAAACCACACGCAGCCCCTGACATTGCGCCGAACCTCCAGAATCTCCATGAAAAAGCCCTTGAAATCCCCTTCACGTTGAAAAGCATCCCCGTTGATCCTACACACTACTGTAGCTGAATGGTTTTAGGGCTGACTGCTTTAAACCCTAAACCCTAAACCCTAAACCCTAAACCCTAAACCCTAAACCCTAAACCCTAAACCCTAAACCCTAAACCCTAAACCCTAAACCCTAAACCCTAAACCCTAAACCCTTACGTTGACGGCTTACGGGATCTTCATGCATGCACCTTTTGCCAGGCTCGGCTGAAGCAGGCAGCCGAACAGCACTGCTCTTCGTCTAGGCCCAAGAGTAACCTAGGCATAAAGAGGGTACCCCTTTCGGTTTAAAGTGGCCCCTAAGGGAACTTCATAGGGTTTAGGGTTTAGGGTTTAGGGTTTAGGGTTTAGGGTTTAGGGTTTAGGGTTTAGGGTTTAGGGTTTAGGGTTTAGGGTTTAGGGTTTAGGGCTCCTTCCTTTCCGAGGAAGCCGAGAACCCCGAAAAAGGGGGCCAAAGGGCACCACCTGGGTTCAAACCCTTAAGCCCTTAAACCCTAGGCCCTTAGACTTCCAAACGCTTAAACCCTTCAACCCATGGGCCCTCCTTAAACCCTCCAACCCTTAAGGCCTTAAACCCTTATATAAGCCCTCAAGCCCTCAAACCCTTAGACCCTTCAACCCGGCTGCAGCCTGAACCCTACAACCCACCCCCCCCCCCCCCCCCCCCCGGCGCCCCTTCGACTTCAACAGAGAGCCCTAAAACCGTCTTGGGTCTAGGGCCTGGGGTCTGGGGCCTAGGGTTTATTGTTCAGGGCTTAGGGTTTAGGGTTTAGGGTTTAGGGTTTTGGGTTTAGGGTTTAGGGTTGTAGCGTTGTCGGGCTTTGGGCGCTGTATAGGCCCTCACCCTATACCCTCAAGGGAACGTGGGTGCCGCTGAAGGTCTCAAGATGGAACTGCCTCGCCCAACACCCTGACACCCTAACACCTACCACCCTAAACAGCCTACACCCTACCTCTGAAGCTCTCCACGCCTGAACCCGAAAACCTAACTTTCCCTAAGCCCTAAAACCTGAAAACCCCAAACCCTAAACCCTGAAACCCCAAGCCCTAAACCCGAAAACCTAAACCCTAAACCCTACAACCCAGAACCAGCCCCACACACACCCACACTTCCGCACCCCAAACTTACTGTTGGTTAGCGGGGATGAGGGAATGAGGTACCCGTTCTTTCCCTTTCAGGGATGATATAGGGGGACCCTAAAACCTAAACCCTGAACCCTAAACCCTAAACCCTAAACCCTAAACCCTAAACCCCAAACCCCAAACCCCAAACCCGCACCCACACTCCCAAAAGGACGCTGAGGCGGCGTCTGCGGGTCGATGTTGTTGAACGGACAGGAGGCCAGGGTGCTGACACCTTCGTAGGGCCTGGGCAGTGATGTAACGTTTAGGGCTTAGGGTTTAGGGTTTAGGGTTTCGGGTTTCGGGTTTCTGGGGTCTAGCTCTGTTGCCCCTAAACCCCAAAACCCAAAAACCCCAAAAACCCCGGAGCCCAGCTCCAAATCCCCGGCCCTTGTCCAGGGGACCCTGAACACCAGCCGGCTCTGGTGTTGAGGAGCTTGGGGGTCCTTGAGGTTCAGGTTTAGGGGTCCATAAGGGTTTGAAGGGTCTTGCGCAAGATGTCATCGAACGTCCTCTGCGGGAAGAGGGTCCAGGAGTTAAAGGGTTTCTTTGGGGAATAAGGGCTTCGGAGTTATTTCGCGCTTTGGGGGCTTTGGGGTTCAGGGATTAGGGTTTGTGGTCTTTGGAACCTTGACCGAATCCTTTCGACCCAAGCTGGGGTCAATTTGGGGGGGGGGGCGGGTTGGGGGGGGCCCTTCAACAAAGCTAACTGTGGTGAACTATGTGAGTTTGTGCAGAAGGGGGCGTCGAACTGTAAGGCCAATTCCAAATCAACCCTAGCACATCCTGACTAAAGTCCTAGACCATCCTGAACTAAAAAACCCTAAACCCCAAACCATCAGAGGATTCTCACAATCTGGCCGAGGCGACGGTCTGCAGTCGACCATGCAAGACTGCCCACCCATCAGTCCTGGCTGCCAAAAAAAATTGGCACCGCCATAGAGCAGAACAAAGGGGGAAACAAATTGTCAAGTGTCCCCCTGACCTTCCTCAACCCTAAACCCTGAACCCTAAACCCTAAACAACCCCCAGCAGCTGGGTCCCGTTAGCGAGACTCGAACTACCGGCCCCTTCTTGTGGAGGGGAGGAGCATGATTTGAGGCTTTCATGCAGTCCCTCGGTTTTTCAACCTAAGGCTGAACTTCCCTCCCCTCCCCCCCCCCCAAAAAAAAAAAACAATTGAAGGGCTGAGGGTTTAGGGTTTTGGGCGAGGCATGAGCTGATTCTAAGCCCCACACCCGATTCAACAAAAGTGTCCTAAACCCTAAACCCTAAACCCTAAACCCTAAACCCTAAACCCTAAACCCTAAACCCTAAGCCCTAAGCCCCAAGCCCTAGGCCCTAAGCCCCAAGCCCTAGGCCCTAAGCAACAGACCAGAGCTGGACTTCCACTTGAACCTAACAAACCCGCTTGCGCCCAAAGAGCCCCACACCCCTTAATTAAGGGATATTTCCTAAATCATATTGAGGTTTAGGGTTTAGGGTTTAGGGTTTGGGGTTTGGGGTTTAGGGTTTAGGGTTTAGGGTTTAGGGTTTAGGGTTTAGGGTTTAGGGTTTAGGGTTTAGGGTTTAGGGTTAGGGATACCTTAAAAAAATGTCCCTTAATTAAGGGATGTTCCTTAGTTTATATAGATCCTGCATATGATTTATGCAATATTCCAAGATTAAGGGATATTGGGCTCTTTGGGCGTGAGGGTCCTGTGCAGTTGTCAAAAGCATCGAAGTCGTAGAGGCATGGGTCTCCCCCTTCTGGAATCACCTTCTTTGTGCTCCGGGGCTTTTGGAGGGCTTATGGCGGTTTATGCAGGCTTTGGGGCATGGGGTTTAGGGTTTAGGGTTTAGGGTTTAGGGTTTAGGGTTTAGGGTTTAGGGTTTAGGGTTTAGGGTTTAGGGTTTAGGGTTTAGGGTTTAGGGTTTAGGGTTTAGGGTTTAGGGTTTAGGGTTTAGGGTTTAGGGTTTAGGGTTTGGTTTAGGGTTTTAGGTTTTAGGGTTTAGTTTTTTGGGGTTGCGGGCTATATGGACGTGCGGGAGCTGCGGCTGAGGGCTTCGGGCTGCGGGAGTCGACTGCTCGAAGGCTTGAAGATTGCGGCGTATGGCTTATGAGATGGGCACTTCTCTAGACAGGGTCCCTTTTGGGGGGTTACTATTACAAAG